TCATCTGATTTTCCCCCTTGCTCACCAATTTAGCTGTCAGAGTAAATAAATGTGAAGCCAGGTCTCCAGCCTCTCCCAGCTCACATTACCTTCCTAGAATTACTCCCCGGCGGGTGGAACCACTGCTGGGGGCCTCCTACAGAATTATCCAGTTACTAATGAAGCCTTTTTTTTTTTCAAACCCCAACCTTAATGGAAACTCAGGTGGGGGAGGATAGTAAAATCCATCCCAAAGGACAAGATGACCACATCCTGTCAAGTGACCAAGAGAAGAATTGAAGTGAGAACTAAATGACATTGTATATGTTGAATGCTAAATACAGCTCCAGGAGGGAGTCAATACTTTTTGAAACAAAATATTAGTTTTTTTTCTTTATTTTTATTTTTATGTGGTGCTGAGGATTGAACCCAGTGCCTCACGCATGCCAGGTGAGCACTCTTACCACTGAGCCACAACCCCAGCCCTATAAAATATTAGTTTTAATGTAAGGTTGGCTGTCACCTCAACCCTGAGATGCATTGTTATTCCCAAAAATGCAAGGAAGGAAACCAAGGCTTAGAGAAGCAGGGTGACCTGCCCCAGTCGCCTGCAGGAAGAAATTGAGTATCCTGATGGAACATACTAAAGTTGCTAATCCTAATTTTGCCAAGGTCACTCCTGTCTGGATACTTTCTTTGTAGTGGTTGTTGGAAGAGAGATTTCTTGTTCTCAAAGTGATTTCACTTCTGTGCTTTTTGAAGTCAGGCAGGCCCTGGGCTGGAATAATGGATATGCAGCTTCATTAAGTAAGTTATTTAGGAGAATGTTTTATTATTTGGTGGACTTATGTCTTTCTCCATAAGAATTTGAGGTGGCATTCAGTAGAATGACAACTAGAAAATACAGCCAATCTATGATGTAAGGATGGCTAATTTGGGGGGGGGGTATTTACTGTGGTCCAGGTAGAGTCCTGAGACCTCGTACAAGGATCATTTGTTCAATTTTCACAGTTAGATAGGAGCTGGAGTCTTTCTCAACACCACTCCCACAGGTGAGAAAACAAACTGAACAAGTGACTGAATAACTTGTCCAGAGTAATAAAGGGAAGTAACAGGACTCGTTCCCAGTCTGCTCTCAGAATCTTTGTGCTGCACCTCTGAGTTTAGTACCTCTTACTCCCCTTTTGAGTTCCTAAGCACTTAATCAGGATTCAGATGCAGAATTGCATAATAGGTAAGAGTTTGGGTTTAGAGTCTGAGTACCAGAAGTTGAAATGGGAGCTGCTATAAGCATGTTTCTTCAACTATCACTATAACCTCTTCAAAGGTTTGGCTGTGAGAATTACAGTGAATAATGTATATAAAATAGTGTTTGGCATCGAAATGCTTAATAAATGATGTTTGTGTTGTTATTATTATTATTAATAAGAATTATTATCACTCAGAGAATACATGCTTCCCTTCCTCTTCATAGGAGGGCAACACCTTGTTCATTCAGCCTCAACCTTTGCACTCATCTCTCTACCTGGAATATTTTCTTCTGTCCCCTGAACCTATCCAAATTTCACCTGCCCTTTAGTTTCATCTTAAGCCTTTTTTGTCCCTATGAAGTTCTGCAAATTCAGTACAACCTTTGTAGCTGTCTTCTTCTTTCCTGAACTCTTCTGCACTCACATGGGTACAGCATTGTATAATATTCATTGTCTTCCCAATTCCCCTGGCCGACCAGAGTGAATGGGGAGGAGATACAGGAGGTCCTATTATTATTCCCATTTTGCAAATGAGAAAAGAGGCTTAGCTCATGAATGATAAGCCTGGAGTCATGTCCATGCTCCTTGAGAGAATACGGAAAGCTAATGTGTGCATGTGTGTTTGAGTGCATGTTTACGCATGCAGAGTGGACATGGTCCTGTGTGCAGCCTAGAAATCAAGAGTATGAGCTCTGATATCAGACAAGTCTGGTTTTGATTTCTTGGCTCTAATAGTTATCAACCACTGTGGCTCCAGTTTGCAAATGCCACCTCTCTGAACCTCAGTTTCTTCATCAGTAAAATGGGCACCATAAGCTAGGTGCCTCACACGGTTATTGGGAAAAGAAAACAAGATCACAATTGTAAAATGCTAAGTATTGGAATGCCTGGCACAGATGAAAGTACCCAGGAATGGTAGCTAAGATTATTGTGTGTAAAAGAGTTATTTGAAGAGGAGGGGATTGGTCATCCGTAATCATGTTGGAGGGTGCATGTGTACACATATACATTGTGTACATATGCACACACTTCACCTATTTCCATGTTGTAATCTGTTCTCATAAAAGATAATGGTTCAGAGAGAAACACTTTGCTCTCTGAAAATCTATGTCTGAGAGCAATAAATAACTGGAATGCAGGGGCTGAAGTGGTTTCTGTGCATAGGAACAGATATTTTGTCTTTAGGGGACATAGGCATGGGTCTTTAGCGTTGTGTTGGTGTAGACATCCTTGTCTGCCTGCATCTGTCAGGAAGTGCCTCTGCATGTGCAGACTGACTGCCTATTGGGAACCCCATGCCTGGAGAGGTGTGTGTGCCATTTCTGCCTATAAATGGTTATCTCACCATCTGTGAGGATGTGTGTGTATTTGGGGATGTCTGAGATGATACAGGAATTGGAGCTCTGTGAACGGCTGCTCTTTTGAGAATGGATGGGTATACAAATGTAATGACAATTGTGTATGTGAGGTGTTTACATCTATAAATAAGGGCAATTACTGAGGTGACAGTATGTGTGTGACACGGTGCTAGTGGGCTGTCATGACCATAGTGCTGGATCTAAGCCTGAGTATGTGTTTGTTTTTACAAGAGGACATATGTTTGTGTATGTATCTGTAAGCTTAGTTGGTGTGTGGAGATGGGGCTGAGGCTGTAAGTGTCCATATGTATCTGAATGCTGTAGGATGTTAGTATGGGTAAGGCTGTCTTTGAGTTTGAGAGTTTTGTCTGTGCAATTGGGGGCTGTCTCTTTGCTACATGCTTCTCTGCCTTCCCTACTTCTCTCATTATCAGTAGAACCCTAGAGATGGTGAGATGGGCACTGGGCTGTAACTAAATAAATCCTAAAGGGAAGAGGGATATTCCAAGCAATCCCTCCCAAAAGAATTCAAGGGAACTACTCTCCCTTGCCACTAAAGTCCCCTCCCAGTCCCAGTCAGTGCTTATGAGCCGGTGTGCTCCCTGGTTGTTATGAGGTAGAGGTATCTGTGCAGGCATGTGAAGTATGGGTGGATGCCTATTGCCCCATTAAATGATGCAAGCAGGTAATAATTTGCATCTGAATGTACACAAATGTACCAGGCACAGTAGTGCATCAGCAGAGTATAACGTGTGGCTTCTTATAGAGTCCATCTCTGCATACGGCATGACCCTCTGGTCATGAATGGGGCTGTGCCTGAGGGCGGTGGGTGCCCCTTGAGGGAGGGGCAGTAGTGAGAGCTGTGTAGATGTGTGCCCGCCACTGTCTTTGTATGTAAGCGTGTCTCTGAGTGTATCAGCAGCTCTGAGTTTCTGTGTGACTCTGTGTTTGTGTGCGTATGTCTCCGGGACTCTGCCTCGTTGTGTGTGTCTCGCTCTTCCTTGGCGGGGAGGGGATTGGTCACGCATGACTCATCTTGAACCGAGCCGGGCTCCAGCGGCAGGGCGGCCGCCGCCGC